TTTCTTTGTGAGATTGAGTATTTTTTTTGTATTTTCAAACCACTTGTTTTTCCCCTTCTATGAGTTGTCAGTTTGTCATTGCTTATTTCCTATTGGATTTTTTCTCTTATTGATTTATAGGAGCTCTTGATATAGCCAGAAAATTTTCTTTTATTACATGTGTGGTAAATATCTGTCTTAGCTTTTTTGCTATGTGTCTTGCCGGTTCATTTTTTCCTACGGAAGTTTATCTTGCATGGTTAAATTTATTAGATTTTCCATTAAGGTTTCTGGATCTTCTGCCATGCTTAGAAACTAATTTAAGTCATAACGCTGTGGTGTCGGGGAAATTAATTAATACGTGTAAATGCTTAGCACAGAAGCAGCCTCAAGTTTTCACTAGTAGAACTAGAAATTTAATTGTCAGCCGGAAGAAAGCACAGTAGAGTCACAGATTTTAACAGAGCCCTGCAAGGTATGGCCCTAGTTGACTCTGGTTCTCTGATGACCGCTCCAAATTCCCAAATGTGCCACATGTGCCTTTGCATTGCTTTTCCCTCTGGAGGGTCCCACAGTGGTCCTACCTACCTTCTCAATACACCCATACTTCCCGCGTGATACTCAACACAGTGTCCACATCATATATTCTTACGACAGTCAGATTAAAGCTAGACTGTCAGTTCCATGAGGACAAAGGACATGTCTTCTTTCTTTTTTTTTTTTTTTTAAAGAACAGAGTCTCACTCTGTCACCCATGCTGAAGGCAGTAGTCAAATCATAGCTACTGCAGCCTCAAATTCCTGGGCTCAAGCGATCCTCTGCATCAGCCTAAAAGTAGGAACATGTCCATTTCTCGTCACCATACTCCCAGCCCTAGCAAAGGGTTAACACGGAGTAGTTCCTAAATAAATATTTATGGTGAAAGGAAGGAAGACAGCTGGGGGTGAGCCCCATCCTCCCTATAACCACACAGTTTCCACCTCTCTGGCTTGGGTGGTGTCACCAAGAGGCTGTCAAAGATGACTCCCACTTCATGTATGCAGAGAAGAGGCACTGGCAAAGGCCCTCTTTCCAACTGGCCCACCTAGCTCCATATTTGACAAAAAAAAAAAAAGTGTTATTGGTGCTTTTAGTACACAGTGTCTTCTTATCCTATTTGTGGTGCTGAAGAGGATATTTTCCCCTATCTGTATGCTACTGTAGTAATTTTCATAAGCATTTGGAAAGTGAATACCTAGGGCACCTGTGCATAAGCCAAAAAGCTGCCGGAAGCCTCCCTATGCCTTGGAAACACCAAATTTTGATATTTTAAACTATGTTAACACTAGTGGGGAGAAGAACTCTTTGGGTATTTCTCTTCACCTCCATTGCCAGGCTGGAACCCTGACAGCACTTCACCCAGTCTGTTCTGCGCTCATCACTTGTAAGCCTGCATGGTTGGTAACCATGGTACAAAAACAGGTTTTTTTTTTAAGGGAGGAGTGAGGAAGAGGGCTTCAATTTCCTTTTTTTTTTTTTTGCATCTCACTCTGTCACCCTGTGTAGAATGCAGTGACATCATCATAGCTCACTGAGGCCTCAAACTCCTGCCTCCCAAGTAGCTGGGACTACAGATATATGCCAGAATGCCCGACGAATGTTTTTTTTGCAGCATATTACAGGGGCACAAATGTTTAGGTTACGCATATTGCCTTTGTCCCACCCGAGTCAGGGCTTCAAGCATGTCCAGCCCCCAGACAGTGTGCACCAAACCTATTAGGTATGAATCTACTGCAGGGAGCGGTGGCTCACACCTGTAATCCTAGCTCTCTGGGAGGCCAAGAGGGAGGATCGCTCAAGGTCAGGAGCAAAAACCAGCCTGAGTAAGAGCAAGACCCCGTCTCTACTAAAAATAGAAAGAAATTAATTGGCAACTCTGAATATATATATATATATAAAAATAAATCAGCGGGCATGGTGGCTTGTGCCTGTAGTCCCAGCTACTCGGGAGGCTGAGGCAGGAGGATCGCTTGAGCCCAGGAGTTTGAGGTTGCTGTGAGCTAGGCTGACGCCACGGCACTCACTCTAGCCTAGGCAAGAAAGCGAGACTCTGTCTCAAAAAAAAAAAAAAAAGAGAAAAAAAAATTAAAAAAAGAAAAAGAAAAGATGATTAACATTATTAGTCACCAGGAAAAAATACAGGTCAGCCGCAGTGGCTCATGCCTGTAATCCCAGCACTTTGGGAGACTGAGGCAGGAGGATCGCCTGAGGCCAGGAGTTCAAGACCAGCCTGGGCGACATAGCAAGACCCAGTCTTTACAAAAAATTATTAATAATTAGCCTGTCGTGGTGGTGCACCCATATAGTCCCAGATACTCAGGAGGATTACTTGAGCCCAGGACTTCAAGGTTACAGTGAGCTATGATCTGGCCACTGTACTCCAGCCTGGGTGACAAAGCAAAGCAAGATCCTATCAGAAAGAAAGGAAAGAAAGGAAAAGAAAGGAAAGGAAGAAAGTAAGTTAGTTCAAACCAAAATGTGATGCCATGACACACCCACTAAAATGACTAAAATTAAAAAGACTAACCATACCAAGTGCTGGCAGGGATGTGGAGGAACTCAAACTCTCACCTACTGCTGATAGGAATGTAAATGGTATAACTACTTTGGAAAACAGTTTGACAGTTTCTGAAAAAGTGAAATATATACTTTGTATATGATCCAGCCATTTCACTTGCAGATCTTTACTGAAAAGAAATGAAAGTATATGTCCATACTAACACTGTACACGAGCATTCAGAGCATCTCTATTAGTGATAACCAAACTCTGGAAACAATTAAATGTCCATCAACAACAAGTGAATGGATAAGCAAACTGCAGTATATCCATACGATCGCATACTACTAAGCAGTAAAAAGTAATGAACTATATGACACACACTAAAACATGAATGAATCTCAACATAAGAAGCCAGACACTCCCCCAAAAAAACTATATACTGTATAATTCCATTTATATAAAATTCTAAGAAATGCAAACTAATACATGGTGACAAAAAGCAGAATAGTGGTTGCCTAAGAACAAAGGAGGGATTATAAAGAACTCAAGGAAACAGGAGGAATAAGAGATATGTTCACTATCTTGACTGTGGTGATGGTTTCCCAAGTCTATACTTATGTCAAAACTTATCAAATGGTACATTTAAATATATGCAATCTATCACATGTCATTTATACTTCAATAAAGCTGGATAAAAATAAAACAGACTTGCAACCTAATAACAAATAATTCCCAGTTATGTGTGTTATGTTCATAACCTGACTTTTTAGGTAGCACAAAATACCAGTGCTGAAGGGGAGAAGGAATTACTCCATTTCAAACTGTCCTCTGGACCACTTGCTGCCGTGGCTATGCCCACACTCCTCTGCTTCTAACCTAACGAGCTGGACAATGTAGGCTCTATTACAACCCAGACCCTTCCCCAACCCCCAGCCCCTTGCTTGTCTTTTTGTCTCCTAAGCAGCAGATCCTTATTGTCTGGAAGAGCAGACACGAGGAACAAAAGGCTCAATGACTATTTGACAGATTAAAGAATAGACAACTGTTTTATTTAAAAGCTCCCTAAAGAATTAGAACATGGGAGGCCATACCGTGTTCTGCTGAAATACAGTTACATATTATTCAGAGCTGTAAGCACTTGCCAACAGACCTGTCCAAGTCACTCACTTCATAAGAGTCTTCAGTTTTCTTTTTTCTCCCATTTTTTGTACCAGATCCATGAATGAATAACATGCAGGTGTGTTTTGAGAAGACACTCCTAATATTTTGAAGAGTCTTTCATACAAATAGCCCCAACAGCTTGAACCATTTTTTCAAATGTTTAAGACACTCAAGGAAAATAATAGACAATGGGTCTTATGTGTGAGTGGTATATAAAGAGCGATGATACAAAATAGCAGGATCATTTTCTGGAAACAATAGGTCACGCTGCTGTTTCACAACAAAATGAAGGCTTACAAATAATCAGCAATAGTTATAAAATAATAATAGCAAAATGGTGATTAATGGAAGCTATTCTTGGCTCCACCACCCCATTAGCTGTGACGTTAGGCAAACTGCTTAACTTCTGAAACTCAGTTTACTCATCTTCAGAAAGGGGACAAAGTAGCGACCTGATAGGGTTGTTGTGAGGATTAGTAACGCGTTTGGCTTAGAGTAAGAACTAAGCAAAAGTTAGCTATCAGTCGTAGTATTATCCTGAGCTTTCAAAGGATCTCACTAACTCACTAATCCTCCTTCCGACCCATAGTTTCAAACGCTGTCATTTCCTAGCACGTTATTTCTGAGCCTCAGTTTCCACATCCGTAAAACGGGTGCCATTAAAGTTACCTGACTTTTAAGGTTGTAGCGAAGGATTAAATAAGTAGATGCAGCTCCCTTCCCTCCCATCTCCCAATGCGAGGATCGCAGAGGAAGGAAATACTTCTAGTGGCTGCAGATACAGTCAGTTTTTCCATTGCTGGTACGTGAGGGGTGGGAGGAAAAGAAGACGCAAAGGGGCACATGGAAGGGTCAGAGGTCCCGAGTGCGGTCCCCGAAGGCGCACGAGTGGCAGAGTGACCCCGAGCGGCTAGACCCCTGGGGGCCTGGCCCGCGCAACTCCCCTGCCGCGTCCCCAGGAGCGTCCCCAAGTCAGCCGGGTTATTTCGGAAGCACCATGAGGCAATTCTCATGAGGCAATGGGTCAGGAATGCGGCGCCGCGCCGGGCCGCTGGCGTCCGCGGCTCCCCGGCGGCTCTACCTGCCGGTCCTCACGGGCATCCCGGGGTGGCGGCGGCCGGAACTCGGGGAGGCAGGAAATGAATGGGGACCCGGAGGGTGGGGGCGCGGCGGGGCCGGCCCCGGGCCCGGGAGGGCGAGGGGACGCGGAGGGGCCGGCCGCCCAGGCCGGGCGGGAGTCGAGGCCCGGGCGGCGCCCCTCCGGACGGCCCGGCGGGCGGGGGGGCGGCGAGGCCGCGCCGGGCCCCTCGGGGCGCCTCACCTCCGCGATGTCATGTTCCTCCCGCCCTCCGGCTCCGCGACGGACCCGCTCCTTGCTCAGGCTCCGCTGGGCTCGGTCACATCGGGCTGGCCCGAGGGAGGCCCGCTCGGGACCGGACGCGGGGCAGAGCCAGCCGGCCGCGCGCAGACCCCCCTCCAGGCCTGGGGATCCCGGAGACTGTGCAGCCGCCCCCCGGCCCGGCTCGTTCCTGCTCCTCCCCCGCCCTCCGCCGCCGTCGCCACCGTGACATCACCCCTCGCGACGCGCGCCGCCACTTCCTGCTTCCCGTGGGCCGGGCGGCGCTCGGCGGCTGGTGATGGCTGGCCGGCCACCCGGCCGGGGACCCAGCCGAGGCGCCACCGCGCAGTCCCCGGAGCACCTCGCTGCCTCCTCGACACCTCGACCGCAGGGTGCCAGCTGCGCGTCGGCGCGGCCCGCGCTCCCCCGGACGGTCGCATCCGCCCCCGCCGCGAGCGTTCGCGTCCCCGCGCTGGCCGCCAAGTCGAGTTTCATTCATTTCCTTCCACAGATCGCCGCCCCACTCACTAGCTGTGCAACCCTGGGAAAGTTACTGGAGGTCTCTGAGCCTCAGTGTCCTCCATTCTTTTATTTCTATAAAATATTCCTATTACTATCGTACTTTCTTCATAGGGTTATGGTGACGATTAAATATGTAAAATGCTTAGACGCGGGCCTGGTCTATATAGTTAGTGCATTACAATTGTTAGGTATTATTATAAGTAAGCCATCTCTTTTTTTTTTTTTTTTTTTTTTTTTTTTTGAGACAGAGTCTCGCTTTGTTGCCCAGGCTAGAGTGAGTGCCGTGGCGTCAGCTGGCTCACAGCAACCTCAAACTCCTGGGCTCGAGTGATCCTTCTGCCTCAGCCTCCCGGGTAGCTGGGACTACAGGCATGCGCACCATGCCGCGCTAATTTTTTATATATATATCAGTTGCCAATTAATTTCTTTCTATTTGTAATAGAAGACGGGTCTCGCTCTTGCTCAGGCTGGTTTTGAACTCCTGACCTTGAGCAATCCGCCCGCCTCGGCCTCCCAAGAGCTAGGATTACAGGCGTGAGCCACAGCGCCCGGCCAAGTAAGCATCTCTTGAGGGTTTTCTACCTGCTTGACTCTGTTGTAGAATACGGGAACAAAATACAAAAATTTCATTGTTCTCATGGAAGGAGCTGCAATAATTCATGTAAACTTTTTTTTTTTTTAACAGTCTTGCTCTGTCCCAGGGCTAGAGTGAATGCAATGGCATCATCATAGCTCACTGTAACCTCAAACTCCTGCACTCAAGCGATCCTCCTGCTTCAAGCCTCCTGAGTAGCAGGGACTACAGGAGCGCTCTGCCACGCCTAGCTATTTTTTTCTTTTTTTTCTTTTTTTCTTTTTTTTGAGACAGTCTCACTTTATTGCCCAGGCTACAGTGAGTGCCCTGGCATCAACCTAGCTCACAGCAACCTCAAACTCCTGGGCTCAAGCAATCCTGCTGCCTCAGCCTCCCGAGTAGCTGGGACTACAGGCATGCACCACCATGCCCGGCTAATTTTTTTTGTATATGTATTTTTAGTTGGTCAGTTAATTTCTCTTCTATTTTTAGTAGAGACGGGTTCTTGCTCAGGCTGGTTTCAAACTCCTGACCTTAAGCAATCCGCCCCCCTCAGCCTTCCAGAGTGCTAGGATTACAGACTTGAGCTACCACGCCTGGCCAATTTTTTTCTATTTTTAACTGAGAGTGGTCACTGTTGCTCTGACTGGTCTCCAACTCCTGGCCTCAATCAATCCTCCCCCCTTGGACTCCCAGAGTGCTAGGATTACAGGTGTGACCCATCTCACCTGGCCTATTTTTTTAATTTTATTTTTTTAGAGACAGGGTCTACCTCCTAAGGCTAGTAGTAAATTCCTGGCCTCAAGCAATCCTCCTACCTCAGCCTCTCCAAGTGCTGGGATTATAGGTGTGAGCCACCATGCCCAGCCAGATAAACTTTAAATAAACATATATGTACATATATATACTAACGCATATATAAAGATATAAATTTTAAAATATGCATAAGGATATTTAAATATTTGCTACATGGAGATATAAAGGGCTATGGAGAAAAGACAAGCAGGGAGAATGGGAATACAGTATTAACTTTTTTTTGAGACAGGGTCTTTGTCGCCCCGACCTGAGTGCAGTAGCGTCATCTATAGCTCACTATCTCCTCGAACTTCTGGGCTCAAGTGATCCTCCTACCTCAACCTCCCAAGTAGCTGGGACTACAAGCATATGCCACCACACCCAGGTAATTTTTCTATTTTTTGTTGAAACAGGGTCTTGCCCACCTCTGGGCCTCCCAAAGTGCTGGGATTACAGGTGTGAGCCACCACACTTGGCACACACCTCGTTCACTCTCTATAACCCAGCCATGCTGCATGACTTTCAGCTCCCCTCAATATGCCATGCTCTAAGAACGAAAATAATAATAAAAAAAAAAAATATGCCATGCTCTTCCCAGTTTAGGGTCTTCAAAATCTGCTTTCTCTCTCTGGAGTGTTCTTGCTGATGCCCCTCCTCATGAACTCATTTATGCCTCCAATCCAAGGACCACGTGTGGCCTTCTAGGTCCTTGAGTGTAGCCTTTTGACTGAATCCAAATTTTACAGAACAAATCCTTTTACTTTTATTAATACATTTTTGTTCATCATTTATATTTTTATTTTATTTTTTAAGTGAACATATTTAAAATACCAAAGAATAAAATAAGTTTCAACGAAATAATCCTCCTACATTGACCAGCACAATTACAACATTACTAAGCCATAAGGGCTAAGTTGACGGCTGTTACACTCATGATTTAGTTCTCAAAGTAAGTACAAACAACTGTCTCTTTCAAGGAGAACCATAACAGATTGGCAACATGAGTTAGCCTTCAACTTAACAGAACAACCTCATGCAATACTTCAAAAGGAAAATATATATTTTTCAATGGCTTTGGATGAATCAACTGATACTAATTGACTTCCAGCCACAAGGTTCTTAACTTTCATTCGGTGCCATCAACAAGATTTTTTTACTACAAAGAGTTACTCGCTTTGGCGTCACTCTTGTCAACAGAACATGGGGAATAGATATCTTCAACAGCTTTTAAAATAAATGTTGTGAAGTTGGACTGAATTTGGTAAACTTAGTGAGTGTATGTACAAATGGTGCACCTTCCATGACAGGAAAACATGAAGGGTTTATTGCACAGGTAAAAAAAGTACTACAGATCCAACATGTTCTCATTTCTTTTCATTGTATCTTACATCAGCAAAATCTCTGTGCTAAAGCTACTATTTTAAGTGACATTTTGCAACAAGTTATAAGTATTGTTAACTATTTATGCAAATGCAACACAGCATCAGTTTCGTAACAGGCTGAAGTTGAATGATGTATTCAGCATGGATTTGCTGTGTCATTCTAAAGTGCATTGGCTATCAGGTGTCAGGAGGGTGGGAGGGGGGAGTAGGGGAGGGGTGTATACAACCACAACCAGTAAGATGTCCAATGTTTGGGGGATGGACACACTTGAAGCTCTTACTCGAGGGGGGAGGGGGACATGGGCAATATATGTAACCTTAACACTTGTACCCCCATAATACACTAAAATAAAAATAAATAAATTCATTTAAAAATTAAAAATAAATAAATAAAATAAAATAAAGTGCATTGGCTACTGCAGAGACAGGTGTTAGCCAAAATTTTATCTCTGAGAACAGATAGTTAAATTTTGTGAAGAACAGAATCAGCAATGTGAATTATTGCAAGAAGATTTCTACAAGAATGCAGCATTTCTGTGTGATGTCAAATCAAAACAACTTGAATATGTGCAAGGTAAAACTAAGCCTGTAGATGATATGTGGCAAAAAAAAAAAAAAATCCAAGCATTTTGAAAAAAGCTATCTGTTTTCAAGACACATTTTCAAAAGGAAACTTCGGATGAACTTTTTCCCCACTTGGCAAAGGTCATTGATGAGCAGGATGACATATGCAAATAATTTGAAGAATACACAGCTCTTAGAGACCTACTAATTGGAGAAGACAATGAAAGGTTCACTGACTTTGAGAATCACGACATCACACTCAAAGTAGCATTTCAACCTCACATACTTGATATCACCAAGCCACCTAGAACTACAGATGGAATTGATTGAGCTCTCAGTAGATGGCATTTTAAAGTCATTGTTTGGGCCAGGCACGGTGGCTCACGCCTGTAATCCTAGCACTCTGGGAGGCCAAGGTGGCGGATTGCTTGAGGTGGTTTTGAAACCAGCCTGAGCAAGAAGGTGAACCCCGTCTCTACTATAAATAGAAAGAAATATTGGCCAACTATATAATAGAAGAGAAGAAAAGATTAGCCGGCATGGTGGCGCATTCCTGTAGTCCAGCTACTCAGGAGGCTGAGGTAAAGGCTTTTTGAAAGCCCAGGAAGTCTTTCGGAGGTTGCTGTGGCGAGCTGAATGAACAAAACGGCCTCCCACTCTAGCCTGGGCAACAAAGCGAGACTCTGTCTCAAAAAAATAAAAAATAAATAAATAAAATAAAGTCATTGTTTGATGCTAAGAAAGATCCAATTGAAATATGGAAAAATGCAGTAGAATACTCACACCTTTGACGACATGCCTGAAAAATGCTTTCTTGCTTTTCAACCACTTATTGCTGCGAATCTACCTTCTCCTACCTAACCCAAACCAAGGCGCCTTTAAAGTCAGAAATGGCGGATACCCATCTAGAGGATCAACTGAAACTACGGAACTCTGTGCTGCAACCAAATAGTCAAATGCTTTCCAACAAAAAGCAGACAGAACCATGTCATTAAAAGGTTAGTTAACTTTAAAATGACAAAAATAGTTTTCTTTGTTTGTAATTATTAAGTATATAGTAGTTAGATTTTTACAGAATATTGTACATTGTTAGGTATATCTAATTGCAGTTTCATGAATGTGGCCGTATTGGATTACAGCTAAATTAATGTATCCTTCCAGCATGAAAAGTTTCCCCACCCCCGCTCTAATCTCAGACTACAAACCAGCTCCTCTGGAAAAGAAGCCTCACCTGATTCCCCTAGCCCAGGTTAGATGGTCACCAAGATTCCTATCCTTAGAACCTAACATGCTTCACTATAAATGTAAGAGGCAGTATGACATGGGGGCTAAGTTCTTCATCTGACTGCTTGGGTATCAATAAGCA